TTTTCAATTTTTTTCTTATCTTGTTGTAGTGTGCTGAGATTGGATGATATAAATCTCATCATAAAAATTCTTCTTTGTGTGTTCAGACCTCTTATTTTTTGGCTCCTATTTCAGTGAATAATGCATTTTAAGACCCCTAAAGACACCCTCAAACTTGATGATTGGCTGAGACTTGTAAGACTCAAAAAAGCTGTTATAGTCATAGTTACAGTTTATTGCACTGAAGGAATATAGGTTAAAGCCAGCAAAGGCATATGAGATGAGAAACCAGGCAAAAGATTCCAGGAGTGCCCTTCTAAGGGTGTCACATGGGGTAGGGAGGGACACTTAATTCTTCTATCAATAATGAGTGGTGGAGCATGGCCATTTGGAATTCTTCTATGCCATAAGCTCCAGGCTGATGAAAAAAGCCCTTCCTCTTCTAAAAAAAAAAATAAATAAATAATGAGTGGCAACATATGCAAAATATTGCCATGCAGGGAAGCCCACCAAGCCTTAGTGTTCAGGTGTTATTGGTCAGACATGATGGCCATGCATTGCCCATAGTTATTTAGTCTCTAGTACCCCAGAGGTCAAAGTTTTATACCGTATTTCCCCGAAAATAAGACCTACCAAAAAAATAAGCTCCTGCAGGATTTCTATGCATTTCTATGCATTTGTTAAATATAAGCCCTACCCTGATAATAAGACCTAGTGATGGGCGTGACTATGCAGCATATCTGCATAGCCAGGCCATGTATTTCAGTGCAGAGAAGACATCCCCTGAAAATAAGCCCTAGTGTGTCTTCCTGAGAAAAAATAAATATAAGACAGTGTCTTATTTTCAGGGAAACACAGTAGTAGGGCCACAAACATATTAAAATTCATTGAATGTATACTTAAAATGGATGAAAGGTAAAATTTATAGTATATAAATTATATTTCAAGAAAAACCCCCCAATTTTTTAATTTTATAGAGAATATAAAAATTACCTTTAATTCTATGACTTAGATAAATTCTGATTTGTACTAAGATGCATATATGTAATTACCTTGCAGTTTATCCGTGTTGTTACTTAAAACTCAACCTTTGGCTTGGCGCCTGTGGCTCAAGCGGCTAAGGCGCCAGCCACATACAACTAAGGTGGCTGGTTCGAATCCCCAGCCCGGGCCCGCCAAACAACAATGATGACTGCAACCAAAAAATGGCCAGGCGTTGTGGCGGGGGCCTGTAGTCCCAGCTACTTGGGAGGCTGAGGCAGGAGAAAAATCTAGGCTCGGCGCCTGTGGCTCAAGCGGCTAAGGCGCCAGCCACGTACACCTAAGG